GCGGTTCATCTGGAATCCGACGCTTTCCTAGTTTGTCTCAATCATGCCCTGAGCACAGAAAAGGAGGAGGTGATGGGGCTGTGTATAGGGGAGGTGAGTCGGTCAGCCCGGCGGGGAGCCCGCTGAGCAGTCCCCAGTAGTCCCCGGGGCAGCTGGGAGGCCACCTAAACCTCCGGCCCGGATCCTTGGACGTTCTTGGCATGGCTTTCTTGCGGGGCCTTTTCCTCGGGCCCCGACCCCCGCTTATCCTCCTACAACCCTCCTGCGATCTGCGGTGATACTGAGGTCGTCGCCCCACTGAGCAAAAGTCAAGTGAGAGCCGAAAGCCGTTGGGAGAGGAGGCCATCGAGGTAGAGGGAAGCAGGGAAGTATGGCTAGAGCCTCGCGCCTGCTGCCAGTCTTCCCTCTGGGGAAGCAGAGGTGGCCACAAAGCGCTTAAAAGCTTAGCACAGACCCTCAGGGGCAAGAAGGGTTTTATGGGCCCGAAAGTGTTGCAGAGGGGCGACAGTGGAAGGGTAAACAAAATGTAGTTCTTTACAGTCTAAAAATTCTCCAATCTCTAATGCTGGTGTCAATGAACATATGACTTGATTTTCATATCATGTGCATCCCTGTAGTCAATCAAGCATACTGTGATCAATAATATTTTCTGTTCCTTCCCACTCTAGTTGAATGATGACACAAGGTAAGACTATATTTATTTACTCATGTCTTGTGATTCCTAAGTTCTGAAAATTAGGGCGTTTGGTAGCAACACATATGGCTTGTATATTCAGTGCCATCACAGCTTGCGAGCACCCTCAGGTCTGGTTTCAGCTCCACACCAACCCCGAAGGTTTATTTCTGCCTAACTGAATACAAATTTCACTCGAGGTACATGTGACCTTATGTGAAAAACATAGTTTGTGTAATGTGATCTTTTAAGTGGACCTGCGAAGGCCCTTAGAAATAGAATTTTGTTGACAGGAAAAGACTACCAGTATGTTTCCTATTTAGTGTTCTTATTTTTCCCTTTCTTGCTTGATGTGTTTTATGTTCCTTCTCCCCTCAAATGTCAGTGAGATACCAGTCATTTTCGTTGTGGCAGATAATGTATACATTCAGAAGTTTTTCCCCTGTTGATCCACTTCTTTATCTAAATACTGGCTTTCTGCCTTCTCCATTGCTGGGCCCTATGTGATCCCAGACACCCCACGGAGCGTAAATCCTTGAGGGTCAACTCTTTGGGCAACTTTTACTTAGCTTTCAAAGCATAGCTTACTATATTCTCACAGAAGTCCTGTCCAGCAGCTCAGCCTCACTCACTTTCCCTCCTGTTTTGTTCCCCTGAAGTTACACTGCAAAAACTGTTAATCCACTTGCTCTGCTTTAACTCATTTTCCTATTCCAAACCCAAGTTCCTCTTCCCCCTAATTTATCTCTACTAGGAGTGACTCCAAATTTGCATATACTGGAGCTGAAATGCGCACGGTTGCGGAAAAGGTATGTGTGCTGGAGTCCTGCATGACAGCAGCTTGCAACTGGGGGGGGGGATTGCTGTACTTCGGTGACTTCAGCCCAATTATCAGTCCGTCTGCAGCTGGGTAGGGGTCCTTGCCAGTAAAAGCGGCCATCTACCCACTAGAAAGGGGATCTCATTTTCTGTTCTTTGTAGCAGTTTACCGTCCTTCATCAGAATGAGTAATCACTATCACTGCCACTCTCCTCTCCCTTCCATCTCTGCCTATTTCTCACTGTACTCTTGCTCCTCTTGAGCTTTGGCATCTGGTTCACTGTGGTGTAACTGTGGTGTCACCTATTTATGCTGAGTCTCAGCAGCTACTTGTGAAGCCCTTTTCTTCTTGCAGTTGAACTATCCATATTAGCATAGTCCTTAGACCACTTTGGCTTTTCTCCTATTCATACTTCCACCACACTTGCTTTGGCGTGCACTAGCCTAATTGTGGGATAATCCTGGTGAATTTTTCTGCCAACATACCACAAATACTTTTGTACAATGCAGTAAATATGAATTACTCCCTCCCCTTCCTCCTCCAAGCTCTTAGGCAACAGCTTCACTTACTTATTTTTGTATATAGACCTCGGACCTCTCCATCTTAACCACTTGGGGACTTTTCTGCCTATATCAAAGGGGCAACAGTGGAGGAGGAAATACAAGCTAAAGATTCTCCAGTCTCTAATGCTGGTGTCTTCCTCACAAAGCTGTGCTGACTCTACTCTCCGGCTCCCTCATTAGTGCTCATCTTTCTCCCCAAAACACTGGACTTGTCTGGGTGTTTGTTTTGTTGGGTTGTGCTTCTTTCATTCCTCTCCTTTTCCCCACATCCTTTATGAAGTCTTCATTCTCTGTCTATACACTAAATGTCATTCCTTTTAAGCACTGAAACCTTAGTTGTTTCCGTGTGTGTGTGACAGAAAAGCGAGCGAGAGAGAGAGAAATGAGAGAGTTAGTTTACCCTGACCATCAATTACTAAAATATATTCTGAAACTTAATGATATCATTTTTAAGGGCTTAAATCCTCATATTGAATTTCATATAAATTTGTATTATCTAAATCAGAATTAAACTTCATGAGTTTAGCAACCTTAGCTTTTTTGTTAGTGTATGATTTTTTATCCTTTTGTTTTTAGCCTTTCCATGTACTCATGTTTAAAATGTCTCACTTGCGTGTCATACCATTTAATACTATAGTCTGATAACCTTTTTAATTAGAGCACTTATTCTATTTGAATTTATTTACTAACATATATGTTGGTTACAGTTGCCATCATTTCACCTTCTGTTTGAGTTACATTTTGCTTTATATTACTTTTCTTTCTTACCTTTTGGATTAATCATATATGCATATTACTTTGTTTATTGTTTACCTTATAGGGAAGCTGCGTGGCAGCCACAGGTATTCGTTGACCTGAACTGTCGGTTTCCAGCTCACTCTCACATGCAGTTGGCAATCCTGTGGCCACACCAGCCACAGTCCTTAGAAACGTGCTGTGAAATGTTTTCTTAATTTTGCTTCCGTCTCCATTAGTTATAACCTTATTTATTTATTTATCTATTTTGGTGGAACTGGAGATTGAACTCAGACCCTTGCACTTGCCAGGGAAGCGCTTATTCTACTGAGCCATCTCCCCAGCCCCTATAACCTTATTTTTGATGTTATATTGTACTTTTATTTTTGATCTTTTCCCATATTAGGGATATATGATATGTGGCCATCTTTTCATTGGCCATCCTATGTATAATAACATGAATTACTGATTTATTACAGTCTGCTACAGATAGCTATTTTCACCACTTCCCCAATAGTACAGATGTTTTTAACTTACAGTTTGGCTATGTTCCAATAAACTCAGTGGGTTTTATATGGGGACATTAGAATGAAGACGTTATATGCTAAAAATGCTTTTAATATACCCAAGACACCAAACAATGTAGCTTAGCAAACCAGACACATGGGCTGATTCTGCGGGTGCCTGAACTGCAGCTCCTGCTGTTGTGCACGCGTGTGAGAAGGGATCATACCACAGCATCATACGTCCCCAATCTGGGAAAGGATCAAAAATGAAAGTACAGTTTCTGGTGAGTGCACGTTGCTTTCACACTGTACTAGAACATTAGAACGTTTTGTTTTCGTTTATTCCCTCACTTTTGGCTTATTGACATACAGTTTAATTCTAAGGCTACTTTAAGCTTCAGGTGACAGTGTTGTGTTTTCTGCAGTAAATATTCATTATATTTATCTAAACGCTTGATCTCCATGGTATTTGTTGCTCCTTTCATTTTGGGGATTTTTCTGGGCTGCTAATGAGTTCCCTCCATTGCACATCTGAAAATCTCTTTATTTTGCCTTAATTTGCTTTAACTTTTGAAGGATATATTGTTTCAATAAAGAATTCTTGGTTGGCAGATACTCTTTTAGCATCTCACTCTCCTTGGGTTTTCATTCTTTCCTTTGAAACGCCAGCTATTGTCTTTCCTTGGAAGGCTGTGCATCTTTCAATCTGTGCTTTTGTTCCTTTAATTGCTTGTCAGACATTGTACTGGGTGCTGGCAATAAAAACATAAATAAAGTCCCTGCTCTTAAGCTTACACTTTAATAGGAGAGAAAATTGTGTTAAATAGGAGACAATATGTATCCTAACAGAAGTGAATAGGTATGATAAGAGGAATCATATGCAGAAGAAAATAATTACTTTTGACAGGATGATCAGGAAATTTAAAGGATATGAAAGAGTCCATCATGTGGGAAAAAAGGCTGGGAAGCCCCCTGTGGGGACAGGATGGGAAAGGGCACAAGCTCTGAGGGGCTCTAAGCAACCCAGTAATGCCAGGGAACTGTGCAAAGGTGCTCACACATGCTTTTCAGCAGGACATCACTTGGACAGCTTTTTGTTTATTAAACAAAGTGGAAATGTAGTTGTAAAAATAGTCAGCACTTACTGTCAAAGCCTTGTTTTGAAAATCAGTTTTACTATTTCACCTGTGTGGGGGTTTTGTGCTAGGAATTGCAGGTGCTATGCCATTGAGCTATATCCCGGGCCCCCATTTCATTAAATCTCTATGAGAGTAAAAATCGAAGAGTTCAATTGGTTAGATAGCTTTCTTTTTTGAAAAGTACAAAATTATAAGCTAAATGTAAAAATAAAATCATTGCTTAGCTATTTGTAGCAGAATCTTGAAAATAGATAAAATCGTTGTCCATTAGAGATACAATCTTGGGGCCTAGGGAGATAGCTCATGCTGAGTGTTTAGATTTGAAAACTTATTTAAACATTCACCCTATTTTATGATCAGCCCTTGTTTCTCAACCAGTTGTGCTAATTTCTGGTGTGTGTTTTCACCACCCTTACTCACTGCATCTGCAACATTGTGACTCTGTCCTCTTCCCCAAAATGATCATGAAAAGTAAAGGTTTTGGAACAAGTCAGGACATTGAGGCAGCCACGACAGTGCCACTCGTGACACTCAGGAAAGAGGACTTCTAGAACTGCTTCAGAAAGCAGCAAGAAACATGAGATCAGTATGCAAGTGTTTTGAGGAGGATTCATACAAAATATATCCTTTACTGTAATACATTTTTTGGGAAAACTTTTTTCTAAATATTCTTTGTAAGTTTTGATCCCATGCCATACTCGTACCTGTGAAAGCAGACTGGCCACATTCCAGAGGCTCGGTAAGCAATGTAAATTGCCTGCCATGGCTGACTATCTTACGCCAGAAGCCCCTTAGGTTTGCAGACTTGGCCCTTCATTGTCTTGCAGTACAAGCTCACCTTTTCCCCCTGAAACTCTTGACTTGCGCTGCTCTGATTTTGCCTTCTCTGTCTTCCTGCCTGTCCCGCTTATCCTAGCCTATCCAGTATATAGACGCCCCTTTTGATTCAGGTGCAGACCTGTGCTCCCTTCCTCCCACCTTTTTCATTCACTCATAAAATGTTATTAACTCCCTCACCTGCCTGGTAATGATGGCCATACCATACATCCTTTCATCCCAGATCAGCTCATCTGAAAATGAGCTCACCTCTGTCTTCTAAGCTCAGATCAGCCTCCCTTGCTCCATCTAGTCTCAGCCTTTACACTTGACTGTCATCATTAATGATTTTCTGTCCTGTCTGTGGTTCGTAAGCCACCAAACCTTGATTCTTCCTTAATGGCTTTCACATCTGTTTCTTTTGTCCCTGTCATCTACTTAAATCCAGCACTTTATCATTATTTCATGTAGGTTACTGCAATAATTTCCTTCCAGTTCATCCTGACAATCACAGCTTGTTGCTAGATATCTTGCACATTTTCACTCCAGCCTTCCTCCTCTGACTTACCATTTGCTGTTATACCTTAAGCTCTGTGTCTAAGTCAGTTGGCCAGTTTGCCTTTCAAACTCTTCATTCATACTTCACTAGTGCATATACCCATTTGACATACATGTAGAAATTCTATGAGCACACATACACACATACACCAATCGGTGAACAGATAGACTTGCCTACCTTCTTCCTTTTTTTGGTACCAGGAATCGAACTGAGGACCTTGTGCTTGCCAGGCAGGCACTTGTGCCCCTGAGCTCTATCCCCGGCTCTGCCTACCTTTCTGTGAAGGTTTTTGTCTAAATGATTTCTTTCCTGTGAGCTCCCTAGCTTTGATTTGTTGCATTATTAGCATAGTTTCATGTATGATTGTTCCTCAACCGTATCATTGTTTTGAATCATTTGTCAGCGCTCTGATTTATATTCTTTTGTGTGACAGTGTCTTGTACATAGTTGTTACCTGAATTATTATTAAGCATTCAAAAAGGTGTTCCTTTATCTAAATACTAACTTTTATATTTTTGTTCCAATTTCATTTGAAACATTTCATTATTCTTGCAGAAAGTGTCAGTTTTCCAAAATGAAATCTTTAACCAGATACTCTAGTAATATGCAATCCTGTAATTAACAGCAGATGTAAGAGAGAAGTATTGGTGGTGAGAAGTAGTAATGATTTCTTCGTATTTTCCTTCAGGTTGACACCGTCAGAATTGTTCATGTTCATTCTGTCATCATCCTCCGACGTTCTGATAAGAGGAAGGACCGAGTAGAAATTTCTCCAGAGCAGCTGTCTGCGGCTTCAACGGAGGCAGAGATATCCTTGCTGATCAATAAGCTTTCATGTGCTCAGGGGCTTTTGGGCTACATTGATCTGCTTGCTATCAACTTTCTTCCTACGGATTGTTTTCCAGTTTTCATATTTACCCTTAAGATCTAATTGTTTGGTTAATCAGAATTTCTCTTTAGCCTTTTAATGGCTTTTATCAGAAAAAAGAGAAATTTCTCACGTTCCTGTTCCTAAATGCTTGAAGACCCCGGGGTCAAATACTGTGACAATGAACTCTATGAGGCCCCTGGTCTTCCGTGCCCCTCCCGCACCTTCTCCATTCCTTTCTGTCCCTCCTTCTATTTTTCCTAAAGTCATGTTACTGATTTTCAGGTGACTCACTACCTCCTCTCTACCCTTTGGGATATTTGCTCTTGAGATTTCCCCTTAAAAGAAGTAGTATTGAGTAGTCAATGCAATATTCCGTGAGGAATAATGTATATCAGTGCTTTTAGAAACTTACTCTTGGGCGGCAGGGGAGATAGCTCAGTGGCTAGTATGCCTCCCTGGTTAGCACAAGGTTCTGAGTTCAGTCCCTGGTACTAAAAAAGCAAAACAAAACAAAAAACTGCCCTAGAAATTTACTCTTTTGGTTTAAGTCAGACTTGTAGATAACTAAAAATAGTTTTGAAAGTAGGTAAAACACAGATATGGTAGAAACTTTACAAAGTACAAAGCAGTATATAAAAATGGGTATTTATCCAGTGTCTGCTACAGTTCTTCCCTGGTCCCTTGCCAGATATAACCAATCAGTTGTGCATGCATCCTTACAGATGGATTCTATAACTGTGGAAATGTAGGAACAGTCTCTGAAAAAGTGTTCAATCACTTCTCACATGCAGCATCCAGCTTTTTTCACCTAACAGTGTCTCTTGAAATTCTTTTACTTCCACATACACAGCGGCCTTACCATACTTACTTCTTCCGTCCTTGTGCACGTGTTCGGGCTATATGTAAATGTGTACCTTGTTGCAGCGCACAGATGCGTGTGGAGCTGCAGGATCCCTTCGTAGAAGCAGAGCATCTTATTCAGAATGCTTAAAGTTAGCCAAGGTTAGAAATCCTTACTTTTCCCATTAGTTGTGAATATCCACACATAGTAAACTCATTATTAGAAGTTTATCACAAAATGGACTTACAAGTAGTCTTACATGATAATAGCATAAACACTATACTGTGACATCTGTTCCTTTATCAGAGCATCCCTTGTCATACATCTATCTGTTCTTTTTATGTCTTCATGGACATGTGAAGGAACAAGGTTATTTTCACTTCCATATCCTAGATCTTAGTTTCTAGACTTAACAGACGTCAAATTGTTCACATAAGCAATGATGGTGCACCTTTTAGAGCTTTCAGTGATAACAAATAGCCCACCATAGCAAATGTGCCGTAGGTTCGCTGTCACTAACATAGAGTATTTCTTCATGTCTGCTGAAAGCTTTGCTCTAAGAAACTTTATATTTTATAATCTTTCCTTAGAAATATAAGAAAAATAGGGAATCCCCTGAGTTATGTTTGCAACTTGTCCTTTCTTTAAAAATGTTCCTAACAATATTACAAATTAATTATATCATAATACATATCCCTGGTATTCAGGTAATTCTTTAAGCAATATTCAAATATACTTGTCCTATGTTTACCATAGAACTTACTTTTGAGCTTTCAGTAAGTCTATTAAGATTTGTCAGATATTTAATAATGTAGGCAATCATAAAATTGTACTCACTCCTACTGTAACATTTTCATTTTATATATTTTGTGTCATTTTATATAATTTCCTGGGCGTGGGTGTTGATAGATTTTTTCTTTGTAGTCTCACCTTTGCTGCCTTTTCAGGCTGGTATAATAGTACCTCACAGGACTTCTAAACACGTTGTCCCCTGTGGCATATCAGCTGCAGCATGACATCTGGTAAGATGCCAGTGCATCATTTGCGCCTACTGCAGCTGCAGGACCTCCTTCTTAGCTGCCTCCAAGCAGCCCTTCGCTGATTTGATTCAATTTAGGGGGGGATTTTCACCACTTGCATCATTTTTACCTTTTTATTTTTCTTTCTTTTAGAGACAGGGTCTCACTATGCAGTTCAGGCTGGCCTTAAACTCACTTTGTGGCCCAGGCTGGCCTCAAACTTGCAGCAATCCTCCTGCGTCAGCCTCCCCAGTGCTGAGTTTACAGGTGTGGTCTACCACAGCAGGCTCAGTTTTTTCTGATTTCAACAGAATATGATTTTAGTTTATTTTCTAGTGAAGGTTTAAAAGTAGCGTTTGTAACATTTCAATCTTGTCTCTAGCATGTACAAGCTTTCACAACTGCCACTCAAAGTCTTGTAACTGTGTAGGGAGGAAAAGCACTGTTTTTGTAATGGAGTGTCCAGATTTCATCTTGTCTACTTCTCACATATTTCATCACAACACTTCTTTTTTTAAAAGTAGGACAGTTTCAGTAATTAATACATTGCATATTATTGTCTTCTTAGTGGTTATTCATAGTACAAGATGCAGACATGATATCCTGTCCAAACACTATTAGTACAAAGCTTTCTTCTCATTGAGTTAAGAGAAAGTAGCTGTATATCTATCCTAACTATTCTGCATATACACATACAAAATGGTCCTTCCTTTGTATCCCCTTATTTTGTTTAGTTTTGTCACAGATGGGTATTCCATTGCCATTTAAATATTGTAGGTGCATGAATTCAGCAAAATAATCCAATGTAGTCCAGTAGTCCATAATAGTAGTGGGTTGTCCATAGGAGTGGCAATGTCCAAACTTGTTGACTTGAGCCCTTTACAGCTCAGCATATTAATATGGCTTTACTTTTTATACCTCATTTGTATACTTTTCTGCTGGATGCTTAAGACCAAGATAAAGCAAAACCCATATAACAAGAAACATCACAGCACTTCTTGAGGAATTAAATTCAGTTGCTTCAGTTGCTGAGGTGCCTCTTCACCTGATAAATCTTTACCAACTGCAGCCTTGAGTGATCTGGTAACATCTAGAATAAGGACCTATTCTACTGAATCCCAGACCTGTAGGCATCTTGGCAGAAAGCATAAGCCTGGCTGCAAATTCTGGCACTTAGTTGGGGAGAAGGTGCAAGCCCAGCAGCCTGTTGTTATTTTTGGCTTGACTCCATCCATGTGCAGAGCTAGGGCCTGGGTCATGTGAGAGCATCCGACTCCCACAATGCCATTGCTCCCCATGAGGTTCTCCTGCCTTAGCAAAATTTTGTAATATTGCCAATCTGGACAGCAAAAGCTGTTTTTATTTCTTGCGATTTTAATCTTTGTCTTCCTGTATATAAATGCTATATTTCTCATATTAAGAATCATTTTACTTTTCTCTGAGAAACCTTGGCTTTGTTCCTCGATGGCAGGGTCCTTTTCTAGAGCCAGACAGATCCATGATGAGCCGCGTTCCAGGTGCTGGTTGTGTCTTGGCAGCGGTTGAAGCCTCTGGAGTCTAACCATGAGCTTGAGCTGCAGGTTCCTGAGCTGCTTGGTATGGGAGTAATGATCACAGCCCTGAGGCAAGACCTCATAAGGGCACTGCCTGGGCCTGAGGCTGAGGCTTCCAGCCAGCCAGCTTGGATGCTGCTAAACTCTGCTCCTGGTGCTGGCAATTCCCTTGCATCCTCTTGAGGGGCAGTTTCTTTTCCAGGCTGCACCTGAATATCTGACACGCTTGTCCCTGCCTGGGATCTGCTGCAGTCCTTCCTGAGTGGGGCTCACTGGGGATTTCCGAGGTTTGCTCCCAGTGCAGTGCAGCTGTGGCCCACCTGGACCTTTAAACTCTGGGTCTCAGTCTGTCTCTGTCTCTGTCTGTCTGTCTGTCTGTCTCTCTCCCTTTGTCTGTATCTTTACTTCTCTCCGTCTTGTTCTCTCTTTTTCTCTCCCTTTACCCCTCTCCCCCTTCTCCCTTTCTCCCCTCTCCTCCCTCTTCTTTCTTCTTTCTCTCCTTCCTGGCTGCCATGAGAAGAACAACTTTTCTTATCACATGCTGTCTGTCTGCCACGATGTTTAACCTTGCCTCTGGCCAATGAGCCAAAATAAATGTTTATGCTTTTTTTTTAATTTTTGTGGTACTGAAGATTGAACCTTGGGTGTTTGTGCTGAGCTACATCCTCAGCCCTTTTCCATTTTGAGACAAGATCTTGCTACGTTGCCTATGCTAGGCCCAAAGGTGAAACCCTTTGGCTTAGTCTACCCCAGCCATCTGTTCCTTTTCAGTTGTTTATCTCAGGTGTTTTGCCACAATGAAGAAAGGTAGCAAACACATCCCCCTACTCGGGACTGAAAGTTCTCAAGAGCTCGCTTTGCTTTCTATCTAGTGGCCTTCCTTGCATGATGACCAATATCCTTGATAATGATTGCTTAGTGTATCTTGTCTAGTTTCTTTGTTATCATGTTTTTATCTTGGCTAAAAGCAGAAAGCCCTTTCACTGATATTTACAAAACCAAAACAAACTTTCCCAAACAAACTTCCTAGGATGGAACTATGGAGAAATGTTTAGAGTCAGGGTCACATACTGTAGCTTCAAACTGTACTAGTGCACCTCCGGAGTGGGTGATGGCCCCAGAGCTGCAGTTCGTCTCCTGCTCGGTGAGCCACACAGCTTGTGCGGCATATCGCACTGCTGCCCACCGCTGTGCCAAGCGTCACTCCTGTTGGTCCGCAACTGAAGAAACAGGCCAAGAGGAGTAAAATGACTTCTCTGGCATTCGAGCATTTCAAAATACCCTTAAAAAGTTTTGTTCTTCAGACTTAGTTTTATAAAAGGGATTATTATGTTTTAATATAAATAATTGGTAGGAAAACTAATGAGCATCTTACAGGCTAGCGGGAGCCATCTCATCCTGAGTAATACTCCCAAATTCTAGCCTAAGATAGTTATTGGAAATTTGTATTTCTGTAACAAAAGAGGAAAACCTCTTTGGGGTGATACTGCTAGACACATGGGGTGACTATGAATGGGAGCTGTTTGCTCATTTGGTGGCAGATGCCATAGGATTTGTTATTGCTAACATTGAGAACCTGCCGAAGAAACATAAATAAAACAGTCCTTAGGGCTGGGGTATCAGTTAGGGACGTAGTACGTGCCTAGCATCTTGAGGCCCTATCCTCAACGCCAAAAACAGATACATAATAAAACGAAGAGCAAAAGAACCTTGTATTTCTTTTCTAAAAGTCATACTGGGCTGAAATTACAGAAGACAAAATTCTCAAGTTGATAACGTGAATGACTTCTGATGGTTTTAACAAGCTGCTTAATAGTGTAATAGTGTAGGTAAATAGTGGTCAGTATTTGAATGATCAAACATTACCTAAACTGGTTAAGATTATATTGGCTGGGAGTGGTGGTGCACCCTTGTAATTCCAGCACTTAGCCTGACACAGGAGGATCACTGAGAGTTCAAGGCCAGCCTGGAGTACAGAGAAAGACCCTGTCTCAAAACAAACAAAACCCAAAAATGTATTATATATAATTATAATCTCAATTACATAGCTCTGCATTACTGGAAATCATACAGATTCTGTTACAAAAACCTTTAAGTAGGTAATCAGTAGAAATTCTGAGCGTCACCTCGTCCTGTTGTTAGATTGTAATAGCTTTATTTTAAATTTTAGGATGCTTTCTGAGCCCTTATTAGCACGTTTGAAAATACCTTGACAGACACACAGGTTGGCCGAACTAACGGGCCGCCCCATGAGAGTTGTGGGCTGGTATCATTCCCATCCTCATATAACTGTTTGGCCTTCACATGTGGGTAAGTATTATAGGGTTGCAATGTCAACTGACCTCACAAATGGATATTCTTTTTCTTCCTCCATTACACAGGCTGTGTTTATTTTAACCCAAAATTTAACCATCCTTGAATATCATTATTTTGATTTATGTTGTTATATTTTTTGAAAATTTTATGTATTTGGTACCGGGTCTTACTGTGCAACTCATAGTGATGCTCCTGTTTTTAGCCTCCCCAGTGCTGGGATTACAGGTGTGAGCCCCCACACTTGGTCTCCGTGGCTGGCTCAGCATGCCCAGGGGCAGCACCAGCACAGCATGTGGTACCAGGGATCGAACCCCAGTCCCTGCTCTTGCCTAAGCAGGTGCTTAGTCCACTGAGCTATCTTGCCGGGCTCTGTTGTCATGTTTTAAAAGTAACAATTAATGTCCAATTATTATTAACAGTAAAAATAAAAGTTCAGCATCCAGTTTTGATGGTATTTAAGAAATCAGGACTGAAAGCCTGACAATCATTTGACATCCAAAAATAATGAAAGTAGCTGAGCATAGCTGATTGCTAAATGCCACTACTATGCAGTCCATGTCTATTCTGAAGACTCACAGGTGTTAAAGGTGAATTTTGCAAAGCTGGTTTTTATCATCTGTTCATATATAATTCATTGTAGCAATCATGGCTCTCATAATTCACTTTGGCATGTCTTCACCTCTCCAATCAATATAATGTACCTAAGCTGCTTTTTCTTTCTTTAACGTTTTTTGAGAATCATGCTTGATTTTTGCCTCTGCCTGACTTTCCACAAAAAAAGTAAGATAACTGCTTAGGAAGTTAACCATGTGGTGATGGTTTGCAAATGTCTCCTCTGATCTCTACAGTAAAGGGGTTAGAGATCTACCCCCTCCTTGTATGGGTTAAAGTGGCAGAGCTGAGGGCTGAGCCTGTATTGTCTGTATCACTAAGCACATTGTTAAGTTTAGCTTTTTCTTTCCTTCAGAAGGCTTTCTCTATGATGAAAGTTCATTAACTTATATTCTAGTTTAAGCTCCTCATCTCCATGCAGTCAACAGGTAACAAAATGTTCACAGGCCTGGTTTCCCGAATAGCACTGTTCTAAGACAACCAAGTTGAAGTGTCAAGTAGACAATCGGGTAGATAGTTCTGGAGCTCTCTAGAGTTTGGAGGACATGAGTTGGGAGTGGCTGGTGAAGAGATAAAAAGTGAAACCATGGAGCTGGGTCAAATTTCTCTAGTAGTGATGGAAAAAAGATGGACAAAACTGAGCCGTGGCTGTGCCAATATTTCAAATGCAAAGATTAGAAGATCTAGCAAAAGAGATTGGGAAAGATCAGGCAGGAAGTTAAGAGAACCAGAAGCAAGAGTGAAAGTGTAAGGCCAAGTGAAGACAGTGCTTCAGGAGTGATAGAGTCAGCTAAGAAATCAGGTCAACCAAGCCCCAGTAGTAGGTCACTGGTGACCTTGACAAAAGCAGTATGGGTGATATGAAGCACAGTAATTGTTTTCAGTGGCTATGGATGAAGTGGGAAAGAACTAGTGGTTATGAAGTACCTTTGACGAGTTGGGTATTGTATTTATTTATTTTCTGTATTTTAGGGAAGGGTCTACAGTGTGTGCAGGGTTTCACTACTAGATCCTACTCGTAGTGATCTGCCTGTTTACAGCCTCCCAAGAGCTGGGATTACAGGCACACCCTACCATGTCCAGTCTCAATTGCCATCTCAGTGCACCCTGGGGATGGGGCCAGCATGGCAGGCCTGAGGATCGAACCCCGGCTCCTGTGCCTGCTTGCAGGGGCTTTAATCCGCTGAGCTATTTGGCTGGTCCTAGATGTTGTGTTTAAAGATCTTATAATTTTTAAAAGATAAAACCTGTGAGAGAAAAAATGTCTGTCCTCATTTACTTGATAAGGAAATAGGCTTAGAAATATTAAGACCTTAATCATGGTCATATACAGAGACCATTTATAGACTTGTATATTTTCAGCAACAGTTTGAATCAGGCTATATTCCCCACCCAAGTATTTCTTCCATGTGCACTGTTATGTCCTGTTTGCTTTCAGGTTTTACTTAGGAAGGCATTGACAGGAAGTCTCAGTTCACATCAGAAAAGTATAAATGCAAAGAATGTTTAAGAATGGGTTGTCAGGCCGGGGAGATGGCTCAGAGGAATAAGTGCATCCCTGGCAAGCTCAAGGGCCTGAGTTCCATCCCTGGTTCCACCAAAAAATAAATAAATAAAAAATAAAAGAATGGATTGTCAAATTGAAGGCACCAGATAGCTGTATTCTTCATAAACAACAGCCTGAGGGATACAGCTCTTTAAATTTAACTTCTGTTCATTTTAGGTATTTTATGTCTTGAAAAATCATTTTCAGTGTTGTTATTTGATGCCTTTTCATTTCCTTTTCAAAAATTGAGTAGCTCTTTAAATAGTGGGGTTTTATTTCTATTCTTGAGGATGTTTAATACAATTGTATTGCAACCAGTTCTATATCGAGGATTCCTCCAAGAATTTGCTCCAAAATAGTTCTATACTTCTATTCTTTAGTAACAAGTCTAAGCACTTTTGTAGAAGCTGTTTATTAACAGGCTTTTTCCTCCCCAGGAAACATTTGTGTCTCCTTCTAAAGCCTATCTCCTTGAGTCCCCATTGGAGGGAATTATCAAACTGGGGGAGTATAAAGTCTTCAGTTTCTTTCTTATTGCTATATTTCATAGCAAGGCTACTCTAGGCAGCCTATAGTTATTAATACTTTATTACTTAACAGCAAATATTTTGTGATTTTTCCTAACCTAGCAAAATATTTGTACTTTGACAATTACATTGTCCTTAGGGTGGATCCCTGTATTGCCTATAGAACTTGCATGCTGGGAGGTCCACTGAAAAATACAGTTTACTGACAGAACATTTTATTTTCAGATGTGCGCACACAAGCCATGTACCAGATGATGGATCAAGGCTTTGTGGGTCTGATTTTTTCCTGTTTCATAGAGGATAAAAACACAAAGGTAGTGTGTGTGTGTGTGTGTGTGTACATATCTCTGTGCATGTGTGTACACAGAGTAGAGAAAAATCTGTTTGCAATTTAAGGGGATGACCAGAGAAGATATCAATGAGACGGGCTACTGAGTCAGTATCCAAAGAAATGAGGGAGCAAATCTGTGGACTTCTTAGTGGAAGAATATTCAAGGCAGAGGAAGAAGCCAGTGCAAAGCCCCTAAGCGAGTATGGCATGTTTAGGGAATACTAAGCAAGTTGGTGTGGCTGCCTCAGAGAGAGTCAGTTTTACACTCTTATCACCTTGTCCTATTTTCTTACCCCCTTTCCTTCTTGAAAGTGTCCCTATTTGGATGATAACTCATTTGTTCATCCTAAATGAGGTCCAGAAGACAATGAGGGCATGATATTGCAGGGCCTTCCTGGCCTTTGACTTGAGTTGGGAAGCCCCTCAAGAGTGACTTCCTAGTGATCTCTGTGGCTGCTCTGTAAGTACCAGACTGGGTGGGGATGGTAAGGATAGAGTCCACGGCATCAATGAAACCATTCAGGAAGGTGTGGTAATGTAGATAAAAGTGGATGGAGGTTTGAGCACAGTGATAGAAGTCGAGGCAATCAGTGGTCAGATTAATTATATTCTTAGAATCCGTGTTCATAATGAATGAATGTTCTCCATAAAATCACTTCCAGAAACTAATAAGCTCAGTATTTTAAACTTCATACTTCATTTTGAAATACTTTCTGCCTTGTGATCACAGTTTTATTTATTATCGTCACCAGTAGTTGTTAAAGGAGTTGGTCAGCTTCCAACATAGCAGTTTGCATGTTGCAGTTCTTGTATTTGCTAGCAGTTCTTTCACAGGAGCAGACATACGTCTTTGCGAGCACTTTATGTTGGTTCATCTTTAGAATCTCCTTTAACTTTCCACTTCCAGGAGAGGTTGCAGGGCTCTAGGGTCTACTAAACTGCTATGAAATTGCGAACACATGGCAATGAATAATGGTTGAAGAGCTAGACATACTTTTCTGATTTCATTATTATACATTGTATGCATATGTTGATATTACCAGATTATAATATATTCCTATATATTCTATATAATATATTCCTGTATTACCATTATATATCCCATAAAGCTGTACAAATATTGTATCTGCATTGATAGTTTTAAAACCACAACAAAAATTAATCCTTCATTGTGTAACATTTCTTTCCTTTCCTTTTTTAATAGACTGGCCGGGTACTATACACTTGCTTCCAATCAATACAGGCCCAGAAGAGCTCAGAGTAAGTAGGACAGAGATATGTATATGGTGATTGGGTAATTTGTGGCCCAAAGACTTGATTGTTTTGTTTCATTTTATTTCTGTTACTGGCAAGATACCAGCAACTGTATTTCTAATTATACCACTGACAGCTGTACAAAGAATTAAATCTTCATAGCAGGTTAGGTAATCAGGGTCTAGGGCTAGCGTCGTAGAAGTAGTCTCTTCACTATAATAACATCACAGTCTTGTTCCACATATCCTATATGATTTATACTGCTATTTTTTCTCTCTGATGAACTGAAAGTTGGAGACTGAATATGCAGTGTGTTACAAGTCTTTTTTTTTTTTTTTTTTTTTTGGTACTGGGTTTGAACTCGGGACCTAGCACTTTCCAGACAAGTGCTTAAGTCACTGCGTTATCTCCCTAGCCCTACAAGTTTTTGTAGATTCTTTGCTGTCCCATAATCTTCAGAATTATAGTGTCTCACTGAAAATGTTTGGCTAGGTTAACTTCTTCAGTACAATTCCACAGAAGCTAGCAAATCATAATTGAGCATTTTTTATATGCCAAGTGGTGTGGCAGGCAGAGGAGGTGAAGGCTGAGCTCATTGTAGAATTGGGAAATGGAAGCAAGCTATCTTAAACATTTACTTTTCTTGTAAGGTTGGCTTATGTATTACAGCAGTGTTCGAAGTAACATAGAATTTGGAAAAACTTAGATGCTTGTTAGTATAGAACTAATGAAGTCAATTATAAGGAACTCATATAATGAATAATATGCAGCCTTAATAAAGAGCTGTGAAGAATCCTAATATTAAAAAGGCAGTGTATATAGCGCTGCCATTTGTGCAAAGGCATGGAGCAGAATTGCATCTGGCTGCATATTTGCTTGTCAATACAGAAGTATCTGGAAGGAAACATGCCAGTCACTTCAGGAGACAGTAAGTGGACGTGAGGGACTAACGATATCCTTTACATAGCTTTGGAGTATGGAATCTTTGCAAGTGTTTTCTAAGCAAAAATTTTACCCTTTTCACCAAACTAATAGCTGCATAATGTATAAAATATTATTGAATGGTTTATAATCCATAGTCTTACTCTTCAAAAAGAATCACTTCCATTTCTTAACCTTGCTTTTAGTTCTTCTGATATTTCCTTTGATATCATTGAATAATATGACTATACTCTTTCTTGTTTGTTTTTGAAGCCAGGAATCAAAGTCAAAACCTCATGCTTGCCAGGCAGGCACTGTGCCGCTGAGCTATATCCCTGGACCCCCTATACTCTTTCTTGTTCTTCTAAATTTAGATATATCTGTTTTTATTGTTATCTTATTCTCAAAAATTAAGATTTAGCTCACATTACCCCATCTCCATTTTCTCCAAGGTTAGTTACATTAGTCTTTATCATCCTTCTGTTAGTTACTTTCTAATTTCTTTATTCATTCTATCAACAATTGACAATCAATAGTACCTTCTAGGTCACTACTATTCCTTATGGTTTTACTCTAAGTATTCATATTTCCAAAGTTGCAAACATCTATGTGCTTGCCTGGTTATAGCCTTGATTATATTTTCTGTATGTTTAATTCTAAGAATAGAAAATAAAGCATCACCATCATTATGATTATGTAAATATCGTTCCCTGTGCAACAAAGCAGTATATATTACTACACCGTGATTTCACGTTCTTCCTTAGGTACTGATATCCCAGAACTTTCTTTCCTTGTGCTCCTGAATTGGGTCCCTTGTGGTCTAGATTCTTCGTTTACTCTGTCTTTCTGTTGGAAGAGACCTTCCAATAACTTCCAAGAATGGTGTCCATTTGGGCTGATTTCTCGGCCCTATTTCACAGAAATGTTTTTATTCTTAATAATAACCTCACTAGGTAAAGAATGTTAAATGGCATTCTACCCCCCAGAATGTTTTGAGAGGGTGGGAGGTTCTTGCTGTGTACTTTAGGCTGGCCTTTAACTCACTGTGTATCCCAGGCTACCCTCGAACTTTTAGCAATCCTCTCGCCTCAGCCTCCATATGCCAGCCCACCTGGCTCCCCTCAGAACTTTGAAGGCACTGTTTTGTTGTTTTAAGCATGCAGTGTTATTGATAAGTCTTTTTCCAGTTCAATTCTTTTGTAGGTTACTATTTCCCTATCTAACAGCTTTTAGGAATTTCTCCTTCTGATAATTGTGAAATTTTCTGTGATGTATTTAGGATATGGTTTTCTTATTCAAATTGCTGGGTGTATCCTGTGCTGGGAAGTCCTCTTTTAGTTTTGTTTTATTTTTTTACCTTGTAAATTTTATTTTCAAAGTTTGATCAATAAGAAGGAAAATAAGGGGGCCAGGGAGATGGCTTAGTAGAATAAGTGCTTCCCTGGCAAGGGCGTGGACCTGAGTTCAATCCCCAGTTCTGGAAGGAAAAAAAAAGAAAGAAAATAATAAAGCAAAGAGGTACCAGAGACAGGACAGTCATTCATACACACACAAGATATGAACAGTACAGGCTCATTTCTAGCAAATTCAGTCCTCACAACATTTAAAATACAAGGGGCTGGGGAGATAGCTCAGTAGAGTAAGCGCTTGCCTGGCAAACACAAGGGCCTGAGTTCAATCCCTAGTTCCACAAAAAAACCAAAAACATAAAAACAGCATTTAAAATACAAAGTACATTTCAATCTGTCCAAAAGCTGACAACATTTAGCATCAGGGCAGAAACTGTTTTAGCTTCTCAATATCCGTGTACAGTAAAAGATGGGAGTCTAGACACTTACCACCATCAATTCACAAAAAATTAACTTTGGAAAGTAAATCCTGCACATCACCCATTCGCAAGTGATGTAAAGGCGGAACATCTTCCGGCAGGCATGACTCGATGCTGCGGACTGCTCTCCTACAGTGCTTTGTTTCCATCTCCTCCAATGCTGGCTCCAGTTGCTGCACTAAGTGAAGCGGGGTGGCTGGGCCTGTCTGCAGAACTTTGGTGTTGTGATCGCCATTGTGATCAAGGTACAGCTCGAAAGTCACCGCTGGTTTAATTGCTGCCGGAGACTTCTGCTTGCAAGCTGCACATCTAGTCGCCATTGAGCGCCATGGTAAGGGGGAAGGTCAGGTGCCAGTTCATTTAGAATAGTTCTGATCTCCTTTCTGTTGTCCAGATAAAGCTGAGGCAATGATTTGTTTAATTCTTCAGAGAATCCCAAAACAAAAACGGTCTTGGAAATCCAGGTCAGATATCATAAGCTCTGAGCTCTCCACACCATGCTGGACAGCGTCACTACTCACACTGAGTTTTCTGGCGGCGTCTTCGTAGATCTTAGTGTTCGATCCTCCCCTCAGGAAGTCGACTGTGATCTGTCCAAACTCGGCGAGCACCGCACTATCCACTAGTGGCAGGAAAGCCACGTGCTCCCTATGCTCCTCTGACAATTCCAGCTGCACCTTCTCCGCCCAGCCAGTTTCACCTGCGGTGCCGAACCCTCTTAGTTTTGCTTTGTATCGCTAGAGAAAACAATTCACAAGCTCTCCAGCTCAAGGGGTATAAAAACATCTGATTTGTAACTCAGTTCTTTTGTATAATTTAAAGTTTTTTCCTATTTAAATCAATCTTTGAGAAGTAATTTCTCATTCCTTCCACTAACTTCTTCCACAAATGTTTAACTCTCAGACAGCATCCAGAGTGTCAGGTAGATGACCTAAGCAAACCTGTGTTGTAGAAAGGAGGCCTCGTGGGCTCACACTGGTCGTGGGAATCAGAGTAGAAGTCCTTGCACTCATGGTCAGTGTTCTCCTTAGCTAATACACTTCACTCTCCTGCACTCAAAGTCTTAGCAGAAAGAACTACACCCCTAGCTTCCTCTTCTAGCCCTTTCTCTGTTCTCCCTAAGATAGTAGGGCAGCCATGTCACAACCTTTTCGCTGGCCTTCAATAATTCATCTTTATTTCCCTCTTTTTTCCCTAGTATTCCTATAAATCATATATTAAAGGTCTTAGATTGACCTATGTTGACTCATTTTCTCTCATTTTTTCTAGTTTCTTGGATAATTTCTGAACTAACTTACTTTCTTTCTTTCTTTCTTTCTTTCTTTCTTTCTTTCTTGATACTGGGGATTGAGCCCAGAGAGATGCTGTCTCTCTATTTTGAGACAGCATCTTGCCAAGTCACCAAATTGCCTGGGCTGGGCTTGAGCTTGGGAGCCTTCTGACTCAGCCTCCCAAAGTGCTGAAATTTTAACTTCATTTAATTTTTTGAGACAGATGTCAGGGTGGCTTGGAACTCCTGGACTAAAGGGATGTCACCTTGGTATCCTAAGGGTTGGGAGTATAGGAGCACTCCAGCGTACCTGGCCTTTATTGAATTTTTATTTTGGTGATTTTGTACTTTTAATTTAGTTACTCAGAATATATGTTATTGCCATTTAATTGTCCAAACAGTATTACCACACACCTTTTCAATGAATTAGAGAAATTAGGTTAAGTAGCTTAACTGTCGTGTGTGTGTGTGTGTGTGTGTGTGTGTGTGTGTGTATTTTTGCCTTTACTTTGTTTTCTAGCATCCTGTTCTTACTTTTTGATAGAATACTGAAATGTTAAAATTTCTTCTTTTTTCAGTTATCTATTCTCTCTAAGGCCCTTGTTTCTATTGGGTTTTTAGAAATCTTTCTTGCATAGTCAGTTTTAAGAACAGGGGACCACAAACTAAGTGGTATTACTGGAGACTTCCATTTAGGGTGAGTGGCTGGGGAGCCAGCAGCTTTAGTCAGGCGTCACGAAGTGCTGCGCCTGAGCTAGCTCGCTCTGGGATACCAGTGTGAACAGTGGCATCACACTTCTTTCTATGCGGTCCATTGTTATTATGCACTATTAGGTAGAAGAACTCTGTGCTGCTGCTATTGCTGCTAATGACGACATTGATAAAGCCACTTTATAAAGTTGTTTGGAAGCTTCTCAGTTCAACCTTTAGTGATGTTGGTATGGCTATGATTCTAATTGGCATAATGAAAAACAGAATTAACCAATA